TCAGACTTCAGTGGTTCAGGAGCCAAATTAGCGATCAACATTAGCTAAAAGAGCCATAGTCGTGTGAATTCATGGTTTCATTTTCTATAATCCTATATATTCATATTTAAATAGTAGGAGAGGGAAAATATATATAATTCTCACAGCAAAATGACCAAGTATTAGTTTATCCACTACAATTGGTTAACATAGTAAAGCGTCCCAATTTAATTATTAACCAATCACACAGTGTTTTAATATCATGTGCTGCAAAGAGCCACAGGAGACACGTTAAAGAGCCGCTCACAGCTTCTGAGCCTCAGTTTGAGTATCACTGGTTCAGCATCTGCCCGGGCACAGCCATCCCCTGCTGCTGCAGATAACTATTCACGCTGTGCTTCCCCAGTAATCTAGTGTTAGGGTGAGCATGTCGACTACAGGAGAGGAAGACGGGGGGACAGGTTATTATCCAGTAAGTTGGACTTGCCATGAAGGGTATTCAGTTTGTCAAGAGCTGTGACCAGGCAATAGAGCAACAAAGGAGCAGGGAGCCTTGGGAGAAATTCCTCATACCCTAATAACCAGCACCACTGACAAGGCCAACCCAACTATTCCCAACCAAGGCGAGTGTCTACAATTCATCACCTTTCAAAGGAAGGAAGAATGATTAAGGGGCAGGGCTTTAATTTGAAGCTCAGCTACCAAAGGAAGAAACTACTGAAATGGTAGCTGTATATTCTAGAAAACGGGTCATGCGCCATCTTGCTACGAAATGCATATCTTGGGTATTTCCAAGTCCCTCACCTTACTATAGTATCTAAACACCTGGTGGTCTTCAGTGTGTTTACCCCCACACCACCTCTGTGAAACTGGAAGCGTTATCCCCTATGTACAGATGGGAAACTGAAGCACAGATTAAGTGACTTGCCCAGGGTCACACAGAAAATCGGTGGCAGAACAGGTCGTTTAGCCTGGGACTTCGGAGACCCATGTTCGTGCTCTCTCTCAGCATCTTAGGATGCTGAAAGGGGATGAGAAGAGAGCTCATTTGTGTAGCAAAGGACCCACCTGATCACCATGGATGTAAGGGCAAAAGGCTTTTCACATTCCTCAGCATTTACTCACCACATATGAAAGACAGATTTAGGCCAATCTCAATTTTGAAAAAACAAACACCAAATGTACAGACATGACCAGTATGAAAGAACCAACCGGAACCTCAACTGCCAATGAAGGCTGCAGCCTCAAATTTGAGGTTAACGTTTATTTTATTTCCTATTCTGCATTTAATAGACTCCATTAAAAACAAATCATATCCCACTTTCAGCCAGATGCAGGTCACTCCATGTCCCACATTTTAAGCTACACACATTATATGATGAAGGCATGGGGTCGTCAAGTCAGAGTTTGAGAGAGAAAAAAACGATTCTGGTTTGTCCTTGTTTGCTAAATTCGTATAGTGTAAAGCCACACTCAAACCTCTGGTGAGCAGAGTAACACACTGACAGATTTATTTCACGTGTAGGCATTTCTGTGTTTCACATGTAGGCATTTCTGTGTCAGTGGCACGAGTGCTTAGAACTTGTCCTTAATCTCTAGTCTTTGAAAAGGCAGTCTCTGTTTTTAGTCACTCCACTTTAAACCAGTACTTCCCAAACTGTAGTACATCCGCTTGATATTTTCTATCAATTCATTTCACAATAATATTTTAAGAAGATGGTACGTGAACCAATAAAGTTAAAAAGAATCCCCATTACCAGCTTATAAAACACCTTTGTAAAGTTATCAGCATTCAAGCATGTTGCTGCATGAAAGGTTCTGCTGGCAGATGTGATCAGTTTTCTCTGGTGTATCCAGTGCACTTTTCCTTAAAGTATCAGACTATGGATAGTAAGCGGCTCAACAAAATTTTTTTTTATT